TTTGTTTTCCACTTGTATTTATATGGTTTTTATTACTTTTCCTTTGACTTACAGGTAGTTAACGCTTGAGTTGAATTGATCTGTAACTTTTCTTAGGTGCTGTGTTGGTTGTGTTGGTTTTGTTGGTTCTTGGTTTTTTTTTTCTTTTTAGTTTGGGTTGGTCTTGTTTTACATTGGTTAAGCCTTACCTTGATTCTGTGGCGGGTTTACTTTGGTCTAGGATTGGTCTAATTTCTAAACTTAATTTTGGTCTTGGTCATATTTCTCCTACATTTTAGGTTTGGTTTCTGCAATTCCCTAGGCTAGATTTTTAAGTCTTTAGGTGAATATTTTTAAAGTCTGATTTTTGACCCAGTCCTGTTTTTTAGTTCTCCAGTTGCTTTCCTTTTTTTCGGGGAGGATATTTTTTAGAAGAAATAAAAGATTTTGTTGTTAGAATAAGTTTCAGCTTCCGTATCCCTATTCTTTTAGACTTCTTGCGACTCCTCCCTTTTGATCCTTTTGAAAGTTTTTTTAGCGAGTTCCCCAAGTATTTTATTTTCTTCAAGTCTCTTCTTTATTTTTTTATTCTTATCTGAAGTGTGCCATTTTTCCCCGTTACATTTTTTTTCCTTTCTGTAGAAGCCTAGAACTTTTCAGCTTGTTTGGACCGATATTGGGGATAGGAATAAATTTAGGCCTACCTACAACAAAAAAAAATGCCATCTGATGGCCAATCGCAATTATTTTTGAGATCTTAAAGTTGTAAAAGCACTGAAATTTAAACTGTTCTTTTTATTGTGTGTGTAATTGGAGTTGTCAGAAGTCTGTGCACCCAAAAAACAAAACAAAAAGATGGGACGCCGGGCGTGTGCAGTTGGCGTAGCTAGGATTTTACTAGTGGGGGGTGGGGCATCAGCATCTTATGGGGGGACACCAGCTTTCAGTGATGTGGTTTGTTGGGGCAAGCTTTTGTTAGCCTTGTTCAATATCCATCCATCCGTTTTTTTTTAGTGTGGGGGGGAGGCACCTGGGGAGCACCGGGGAATTTGTGGGGGGGGGGCACGTGCCCCCAGCCAACCCCTCCCCCCGGCTACGTCACCGCCGGCGCGTTGTGCGCGACACGCTTATCACTGGTGTTTTATTTGATACGATCTCAACATGCATGTGTGACCTCAGAGACAGGTCTAGCGCCCTCTAGCGTTACAACCAAAGCGTAAACTTGTGTGATTGAGTTCAATGTGAGATTTCTACATTTTTATCGATTTTTTTTGCATCAATCCCACGTTCTTTACGAAAAGGTAAGATTAAACATTAAGTACCACCCCCTTCATTTGACTACTCAAGTAATTACTTGGAAAATCCCGAATTTCATGTCCTCATAACTTCAAGAGGTGGACAGTCGTGACACTAGCCACGGAGGAAGGAACACTGCACTGATATGCATATGGAGGAATAAAACATCCTCCATGCACAGAGAGACATCTCAGTTCTCCCACTAAACACATATCTCACTGCTTTATAAATTACATGTACGTGATGTAGGGCCTAGGCCTGCAGTGTATATTCCGTTGTTGACTTGTTGATCTTGACAGTGTCAATGATACTAAGGAAGGTTGATCACTGACAACACTGTCACGACTGTTGATCAAGTTGATCAGGGCTGTACGGTAACTTAAGCATAACGTTACTCTGTAGGTTGTTGGACCATTTATTCATGTTTATTGCACTCAGGTCTGGGCAAAGGGGCAATTCTCCATTTATTTTGTACAGGGATTTGCATGTTTTCCTCTTTTTTTGCAGCAACATGATAAAAATAAACTTTTCAGTACAGCGTAGGAGATGTTTATAGCACATAAACATGATAAATAGTGAAATTTCAGTTCCATCAATGATTCAGTTTTTCCCCAGAGACCACAACACTACTTTTGCCGCTTTGAGTTTCGAGTGTGAAAATAGCAGCCACTTGACCAATCAGAGAGAAGAATCAGTGACGTCATCCCGACAGCAAGAACAGCAGGGGGAGTCAGGGCGGCGTACATGGTGTAGTGGTTGTTTCCTTACCTTTAACCTCTATGGTCCAGGCTGTGGTCTGTGTATCCTAGCTCGGTCCACATGTAGGTTGGGTTTTCAGTCCCTATTGATTCAGTGGGTTTTACCTAAAATATTCTTCTAGGGTTTTCCTCTCACCTCTAAAACTGTACCTGCTTCTCATTGTCTTCTCTCCACAGTTTTCTTCAGGTTTGAAAGCTGCACGTATGGTGCCTAAAATAGGACACTTTTGAGGAATCCTTGGCATGCTTGGTGGCATTACCACAGACTATTAATTATGTACATGTCTGTTTCTATGTGTACACTGTACCTTCGTGCCCTAGCGTAGCATAATCAGATTTTTTGCCCTAGTGCCTTACTGAAGCAATCTTTTATCTTGGACTTGCANTTTTACATGAATTTCATCAAGCTCTCGACATTTTTCCCACTTATAAATCTTGAATTTTCCTATCCCGCTACAATTTTTAAGTTCCAAAGAAATTCTGTTTTGACACCCTGTGCAGAAACCCTATGAGACTGGTCTGAAAATTTCTGTTTCCGAAGACTCTGTATTTTCCCTCCTAAATTGAACTTTTCTGGACACTTGTTTTCTTTCTGACTACTAACAGGTAACTGTAGGGAATAATTACTGGTGTTGATATACACTGTATGGAACTCTCAAGCACTGACAATGAACTTTCTCAAGACGCAATGGGGGGGGAAAGGAATCTGCTCCCCTCCCCAATGTTTCTTCTGATATTCATGTACATGTAGCTGCATTGCATTTCTTAAGGAGTTGAGCCTTAAGGAGTTTTTAAAGCAACTTTCTGCAGTCATTTTGACACCAATTTTGTAATGATAAGGACAAAAGGAGTGTTTTTACCTGCATGCCAAATTGAAAAAAAATTTACTGAGGCACAGCCGAGTTCTAAAGGAGAGGGGAAGAATCCTTCCTCCCTAGCTGGGAGATGGGCGAAATAACCGGACTCTGTAAGGGTAAAACCCCCATAGTCCTTAATCCTGAAGAAAGCTCAAGAATTGAGGAATTCAAATACAGGATGTGTGGGAAAATTTGTTCAAGTGTAGGCCTACCACATTAGGCAACTGATCAGCTGGCATGGCTGAATTTTAGTCCAATTTCTAGATGCCACATTTTGGAATTTTGGACTTTAAATTATCAGGCAATGAATCGTTCTCAAAGGTTCAACAGCATAATCGCAATACATGCTGTAATAGTTTAGTGAACCAGTGAATGAAGTTGAAGTTGAAGGCTTGGGGACTCACGTCCTCTGTGTACACATTTGACGTTTTTGAGGAGTTGGATTTCTGAACATGACTCTGCATACATGTACTTGTAGTGCATACATGGGGGCCATGCAGCCTAGTGGTTAGGGCTTGTAGCTTCTGATCATAGGGTCAGAGGTTCGAATCCAACTGGTGGCAGGATGTGGCAATCTTGGACAAGATACTTTACCTCCATGTGCGTCTCTCCACCCAGGAGTAAATGGGTACCTGTGAGGGCAGATTTTGTTATGTTAGCCGTGTGCGCCTGATAGAGCTGCTTCAGCTAGTATACTCCCCAGGGAACTGAGATGGTTTCAGGAATGGTCAGTTACTGTGAGCCCAATGTCCAGGGATAATGATAGCATAGGGACTTCCAAAGTGATAAATGCTACATGTATATAAACATGATAAATAACCTTTATTATTATTATTACATGTTCTTAGCACATACCATGCGAGCTTGGAGCCAATAGCTACATGTACATGTATTAGCTCCAATGGGTGAGTGTGTTGACATTCATTTGGCTGTTGAAGCACCGAGGATTACTTTGAATTTAATACAGCAACCTGCTTAGGCATAAATCACAGGTGGTGGAGTGTGAAAAACCCCACCCTTACAATCTCACTACATGTAGATCATTCATGAGCCACAGGGCTGGGCTATTCTAAGCTACATGTACATGTACATGTGAGGTGATAGTGGTGGAGTGGGGAGGACATGATATCCCCTGACCCAGCATCTTTCTGACAGAGGCCAGATGATTTCCCCTTCCTAATGCTAAGATGCTGTTCCACACCCATGCCAATACTTACATGTACAGTATGCATGCTGCACTGCAAAAATAACTCAGTGCTTGAAGAGGCAAGTACAAGACAGTGTACAGCTTAAAAACAGTAACAGCCAAAAATTTGGGAGCAGGCCATGCCTAATCACATACAAGTAGTATAATTTATGACAGCGGAGCTTACAAACATTTACATGTACATGCCTTGTAACTTTGCATTGAAATGGGGCACCTTAAGTGTTTAGACCATTACACTGTACTTCTCCAAGGTTTGCATGAAACTATCTGTAGCAATAAGATACATGAATGCGGGTAATTCCAGAAATTAGGGGTCCAAAAATGTCACGTTTTTGTGTCCCTGTTACATCTGACCTTTGTTATTTGACATGGAAATATCACTGGAATTGATTTCAAACTGTTGCTATTTGTTTGCCAGGTAATTTGCATTAATTCATCACTCTTGGAAATCAGAAAACGTGTTGTGAACGTACAAAAATCAGATGTGACAGGGACACAAAAAATGGCCCCTAATTTCTGGAATTACCCATGTACAAGAGTTCTGAAAAGTGTTGAGTCCATCAGCAAACTTGCCACATTATTCCATTTTGGCTGTTCAAAGTAACCTTCATTATATGTTCTTCCTCACCACCAAAAAGGGGGTAAGGGGCTGATCAAATGGGTCGTTCCCCTGGGCAAAATGGGGGGAGGGTTATATATACCAGTCAAATGGGTCGTTCCCCTGGGCAAAGTGGGGGAGGGTTATATATACCAGTCAAATGGGTCGTTCCCCTGGGCAAAATGAGAGGAGGGTACATACCAGTCAAATGGGTCGTTCCCCTGGGCATGGGGGG